AGGTGCAGGCTTAGGGACCCCGGTAACCGTACTCGTCGAACTCGACAAAGAGTTCGCCGTGCAACCTAACCCATGAATCAGCTCGCTGAGTTTCTCGCCGGATCTTCTCAGCGGGTCGCGATTCCGATCCGGTAGTAGATTCATTCGCGAAGCAGCTGCTCTTGAGCTGTTAGGTCTCCTTCGGAGGCGCTCGGGTAGCTGTTNGACCCCGGTAACCGTACTCGTCGAACTCGACAAAGAGTTCGCCGTGCAACCTAACCCATGAATCAGCTCGCTGAGTTTCTCGCCGGATCTTCTCAGCGGGTCGCGATTCCGATCCGGTAGTAGATTCATTCGCGAAGCAGCTGCTCTTGAGCTGTTAGGTCTCCTTCGGAGGCGCTCGGGTAGCTGTTAGCAAATCCCACCCCTCCTGTCTGAGGCTTTGCTCGCCCACCTGTCCTGGTGAAACTGGAAAGGCCTCCGGGCCACCATTAAATATTCAATCATAAAAAAAAAGGTTCGGACTCATTTGAGAAATCGAACAGTGCAGTCGAGACTATAAGCTTAGAGTAATTAAATAGACTATTTAAACCGACGAAGACCGTAAAAACTACCCAACGTTTTTTATGACTGCGATCGTGCAACACTACGTGATTTTAGCATTGTAGCTAATGGCTTCGTATCGACTTTCCTGTTTTGCATAAATTTGCATGAAAAGCTCGAAGTTACTTTCAAAAGCAGACGAACACTCGCTCTGTATTTCAAACTTCCAAGATGCATTGTCGGATAAATGAAAAGGTGTTTAGATTAAAGTTAATCTGATGTTTTCTAGCTAATTGTTATGCACTAAAAAGCAATTTAATAATTGATATTGGCCGACTTGCTTTAAGTGTAACAACTGTATAACCGTGCCAACGAAAGTTTCAAGAATTGTAAGTATTGCAACAAATTCCCGTCGGGCCCACATAGAATAAAGATCTTCGACAATACTAGATAAGCATCTTGTTTTAGTGGAATATGGAAACACATTTAGTCTAATCGTTAAGCTAATCACTGGCAATTTATTTATTTAATTGATAACAATAAACATAACAATAAAAGAAAATTAAATTCTTAACAACTAAAAAGCACTCTACATAGAGAACACTCGTTAAGAAAATTCCGAACAATAATAAGGCCCGGGGGCTTTAAAAGTATTCAGTGGACATTCAAGAGTCCCGATACAAAACTTTCAGACTCATTAACAATTTCATATTTAATTTGATTGTGTCGGGATGACAAAAACAGTTTATAAAATTGTTTGTGTGATCAACAGCAAGTTATTTTTTTTCTGATCTTTTCTAATTGTGTTTTCTAAAGAAAATGGTTTAAAGAAAGGTTGTCCAGAAGCGGGTCCCAGCTCATATTACAACAGATTGGAGAACAGTTTTTTTTATTGCTTATATGGGTGGACGAACTCACAGCCCATCTGGTGTTAAGTGGTTACTGGAGCCCATAGATATCTACGACGTAAATGCGCCACCCACCTTGAGATATACGTTCTAAGGTCTCATTATAGTTACAACGGCTGCCCCGCCCTTTAAACCGAAACGCATTACTACTTCACGGCAGAAATGGCAGGGTGGTGGTACCTACCCGTGAGGACTCGCAAGAGCTCCTGCCACCAGTAATATGATGTGTAGACTTTTGCTTCCAAGAATTGTCGTTATTTCTTGTCTGGATATACCTAGTCAATAAGTCATTAGAAACAATGATAACATTTTAGATACCATATTTCTAATAACATAACAACTAAATAAAGTGATTAGAAACGTCGAGAATATAAAACTTCATAATTTAATGTGAATATTAGTAAGATAACTGATGAGTAAGTTCGTTTGTATGTACATATTTCCACAAATAAAAGGCCTACGGAATTAGAGAGTCTGTTATTGTCATGATATTATTCTCATTGTCCATCATAACCGTATTTGTAAGGGCTCGGCCTATTATACCCTTTTCCCGTACAATTCAACATTAAAATTTCGTTTCAAAAGCTCCCTATTCAAGTATTTCTCTGGAAAAATATATCGTTTCAGAATTAGAATCGGGTTGAGTTTTGTTGTTCAATGGAAATAGGGTTGTATGAATTTCTAGTTTTCCATAACAACATTGAGAATTATTGTCAACTTATTTATTAATTTTTTATTTAATATATTTTGTACACACAGACAGATACAGAGTACAAGGGCACTACTTATTATGAAATAAGTAGTGCCCTTGTACTCTGTATCCTTACTGTCGTGTTAAGATACTGATAAGAGGATAAGAGTATGTAAGATAAGAGTATTGAATAAGAGATTTTAACATGAGTTGAAATTTTATTGAAATATTATTGAACTTCTTAGTATGCATATTGAAGGTAGGTAGCGGCTTGGTTGTGCTCCTCATATTGATATTATCTGCTTACCATTAAGTAGTCTTGTAATGGTAATGAAAAAAAATTAATATCCTGTGGAGGACGGGCGAAATTATATGAGCGAGATTGTTTTTTTTTTAAAAAGAAGTACTAAGTATATTAGTGAAATCTCCAACGGTAACAATTTTTTTAGTACACAAATAAATGTAATATTTAAAGTTCAAAACCTGAATGAGCATCTTATTCCCACGAAGTGCGCAGTTTGATTGTTACAACATTGTATTGATAATCTTTATGTATACAAAGATACGTAAACAATTTAAGCTTCGGGGGACTAAGTGATAAGAATAGAATAAAATTAAATATTATAATAATTACACATGGCATATTATTGTTTGAAAGAAAATTTATCAATATATTTTCTGTTTGAGTAATCCTTTCAATGATCTATCTAAAAAAAATATGAAGTACGAAAGATGGATACATTCATTAGAAGATACTACATATTTCGCTTGAAGTTCGTTGCGATAGTTATTCCCTTATATCCGCTAGATTTTAGAATTTGAACAGCCCAACATCTCCTAAGCTTGTAGTCTACAATAAACTAGGAAAAACTAATTTACTGGCGGTAAAGCGTCGTGTAAGTCCGCTCGGGTTGGTATCACTACCTACTACTCAGGTAGGCAGCGGCTTGGCTCTGCCCCTGGCATTGCTGAAGTCCATGGGCGACGGTAACCACTCACCATCAGGTGGGCCGTATGCTCGTCTGCCTACAAGGGCAATAAAAAAAAAAAATACTCTATTTGCTAACAGTAGCTCGTTCCGGTTCGAGGCGTGTGACATTTGGTATTCTACTTGGTGATCTTTTACTGGTGGTAGGACTTCTTGAGAGTTCGCGCGGGTAGGTACCACCACCCTGCTTATTTCTGCCGAGAAGCAGTAATGCGTTTCGGTTTGAAGGGTGCGGCAGCAGTTGTAACTATACTTGAGACCTTAGAACTTATATCTCAAGGTGGGTGTCGCCTTTACGTTGTAGATGTCTATGGGCTCCAGTAACCACCTAACACCAGGTGGGCTGTAAGCTCGTCCATCCATCTAAGCAATAAATAAATAAAGAAGAATATCTGTATGGGTTCCGGAAACCACTTAACAATAGATGAACCGCGGACTCGTACACCAGTCGATCGTAATAAAAATATTGTTAGGGCGTGTCGTAGATACAGGTTGTTTTTATTTCTTGTTACGAAATGTCTAATAGATAAATGCAATTCAGGTATAAAAAGCCCTCAGTCACAGGAGGATATTTAGAAACAGTATAGTATTTACAGCCGCCGACATTTCCTTAATTTGAGAGGAGCAGCGAAGTCTTCGGCGCGTCTTCAAAAACAAGATTTTATAAATAAAACACGAAAGGTAAATTCAGTTTTTATTTTTAAACTTTTCGCACATTCAATCAACTCAATACGTTCTTTGTAAGCATTAGACACATCGACGATTTCCAACTGATCATTACTGAAACCAATAGTTTCAGTTGTAAGCTGCGTGAACCCGAAGTGGCTTTTCAAAATTGACCAATCTAAGTAAAGATTACTGGGAAAAATGTTTAGCACTTTTAGGTTTAAATTCCAAATGGTCAATAGCTTAATAACAAACATGTTATTATACTGCTCAACGTGGATATCTAAGAAGACCATCGGCGTACAGGTATCACTCATCTTGCTTATTTACAGACGATAAAATGCAACTGTAGAAGAAGTTGCTAGGGAAGATTACATCTCCAGTGATATCTAATATCCAACAGCGAAGTAAGAGGTACCGTTAGCGCATCTTGTGAGCCCACACGGGTAGGTGACAGCATTCTGCCTATTTTTGCTGTGAAGCAGTAATGCGTTCCAGTTTAAAGAGTGGGGCAGCTGTTATACTACAGAACTGAGCGCTCATGACTCAAGGTGGGTGGCGGTATTTAATTTGTTGATGTCTATGGGCTCCGGGAGTCATTTGACACAAGTTAGGCCGTGAGCTTCTTTACTCAGTTAAACGACAAAAAAATTGCGGTGTTGATTTCAAAATAGTTCGCTGACGAAATGAATTAACTTGTCGATCATTTTATAACAATTTTATTGTACAATATTAAGGTTTCTTGCGCAAGCTTAAGTAGCTCTACCAAATATGAACTTTAATGAACATATTAGTGCATATTTCCAAATATACACTGAAGTAAAGTGAATATACATTGGTCCCAGGGTTGAACCAGCGACCTTATAGTAGAAAGGTGTGTTCGAAATTATCTAATTACATCCAACGAGATTTTCCAAGAACTTACCATCTTTGCAGCTATTTTGAAAACGGACACGACATAGAGATAACGAAATATTGCGGACAGAAGTTCATGTTGAGCTTTGATTGGGAAAATCACTTACAAAAACGTAGTAACTGCGACGTAAGTACTTTCAGAAAACACAAATGAGTTACTATCTTATGACCCGACTATGTGAAATGTTTTGTTAATTTTGCAATGTGTTCATAATAAACATTTTGAGCCGTTTGGTTTGAAACCATTTAAGGAATTGAGTCAAATGTGGCGGTCAATTAAAAAGCCGTTACTCAAAAATGTAACTAAAAGCATTTGATATACAAAATTTTCTATAACAAAAATTACATTACAATGCTCAGTAATTTTAACTATACATACACATTACTATAATATTATTTACACGATCGTAAATTACTTGGCTATAAACATTAGATCATGAGCTACTAATCAGTCACCGTTTTGTTACACTATTTTTTTCCAATATTAAAACTAGCATTTACACGAAAATAATCTAATAACATTTAAATAATTTATTTTAGTTTCTTTTATTTACATCATCGACGTCCGTACTTTGTGTGGATTACGATTTTAAAACGAGACTCCAGCGGCGAGAACGGTCAGTGCAATGGCGGCTTTGAGCGGGAAAGTTTCGATGGCGGCAGAATCTGCCGCCGTAGCCAGGGCACTGCTGGCAGAGTCTAGGCACTGCTGGTAGGCGGGAAGGTCGAGGCAGGTGATCGAGCAGTAATGCTGGTGAGCACACGCGCTGTCGCAGTTTTCTGACTCCTCAAATTTTACTTTGTACGCCCTCAGATACCTACGACCCAGAATTGTGGTTTTATAATTGTATTTCAATAATTTTTACTAAATTTTTGTTTTAAAGTATTATTTATTTTTTTACTGATTACTTTGGTAAATCTTGTTTGATTACTTTCATTACAAGAAATGTGTTTTATTTTAAATTTTTATTTCAGAGAATAAGCCGAAAATAATTTTGTTAGTAAGTATTACTTGTAGTCTATGTTAGTAACTTACAAACCCAACACATAACTATTTGACTATTTATTGCAATTTTTTTTTCCAAGTGCCCGCTGCAAAGGCTATTAAATTTGCAGTCCTTTGATCTTATTGTTATGTATTATAATTATTGCATTTCTTTCAATAACTAACTCACCTCTTAAGAATAGAATTATCGTGAGTGGTTCCCGTTCGTATCCTATCAGCAAGGTTATGTAGAGAAGTGGCTGTGATATCGTGGAGTCCGTAATACAGAGTCACGTTGTACTCTACGGTCCACTGAGCAGACTCTATGTTGCGGTTCGCTGTTTTCAGATCTAAGTAGTACTGGGTGTAATCTAATACCTATTTGGATGATTAATAAGTAACTTAAATTTTAATTATACTATTTCATATGTGTATATAATAACTACGAAATATTTTATTATGCATTTAAATTGTTTGTAAAATAATAAAGAGGGCTTATAGATGTTTTAAATTATATTTATGTTTGGTCAATTATTACAATGCGAGCCAAATCATTGTTAGTAACTATATTGTTGGTAGATGTATAATGAAATATTAAAAATAGATATGACTTCCAGTGGTGGTAGGACCTCTTGTGAGTCCGCGTGGGTAGGTACCACCACCCTGCCTATTTCTGCCATAAAGCAGTAATGCGTTTCGGTTTGAAGGGTAGGGCAGCCGTTGTAACTATACTTGAGCCCTTAGAACTTATATCTCAAGATGGGTAGCGCATTTACATTGTAGATGTCTATGGGCTCCAGTAACCACTTAACACCAGGTGGGCTGTGAGCTAGTCCACCCATCTAGGCAATAAAAAAAATAGTGGCGATGTCTCAATTTGGATACAAACGTCCCCAGCGATGGTCCTGCTGTTTCCAATAAATTATTACAAACCTTTCCATTGTGGGTGTCAAATTTATACAGCCTCAGGCCAGGGTTTGAGGCGTCACTAGGGTACCGATGAGGTGTTACCGATGGCGCCAGCAATGCCCAAGATACTGGACGCTCTACACAGAAAATATTCAATTGTAACTTATGAACTATCAACACATGGGATACTTTGTCATCTTATGGTGGTTTTGCAGTACTACGAGATTGTTCATATTATATTATAAACAGAGAAGTTCTGTTTCTAAATGTCCTGAAGAAGCATTCATTCATTCGTATTGGTATTGGACCCCGCACGGGTAGGTACTACCGTCCTGTCTGTTTGTGGAGTGAACATTTCATGGGTTTCACAATTTAATTATTTAATATCTGTGTAATTTCTCATCAGAGATAAAACTACTTGATGATACTACTATTGAAAACGATGATTTTATTAAAGTGAAATAAAAGAAAATATTTTTCAATAATTAGTTACTAGATCCGATATAGATACCAGAGGAGCATGATCTTGCAGGATAGTCTTCCAATAACTGGAGCTCTATCAAAGAATGACTATAACAGAAGCCTACCATTGTCATAGAAGATCCTGAAGGTGTCAGTGTGGAGGTGCCCGAAGAACTGTCCGGCAATCCGGCGAGCGTGTTGACGGACCATCCTGATGTATTTCTCCACGGCGCCGACCGCCATCTCGTGCCCATGGCGATATTCCGTCCCGGGCGCCGTGTGGCCTATGATGTATATCTGAACGGACAAGGAAAAAACAAAATAGACAGCGGATTTGGATTCCGTATTGTCGACTTCTGCCCTGGAGTTTTATTGGTCAGGCGATAAGTCAACGTAATATGCTATGTTTTTGCTTCCAGTGACTTATTAAATGGGAAAAAAGACAAATGGTTAGTCTGTTTACATGTTATCGACTTTTGTATTAATTTTCTGCTGCATTACAAACGACGTAAGCATTTATATCTCGAACGACGTTGGAATATTATTAGAATCAGAACAGGATAACATTATTATGTACTTATGTACAAACATTAAAGTCAAACGGACAACCTGAAGTGATTGAATAACGGCCTCAAAGATAGTTTTGGAAGACATTTTTACATTTACATGATGATTTTGAAATAACGTTCATAACGAAAATAGTGTGAAGCATTTTATAACACATCATCATCATCACCATCATCATCAACAGCCCACAGTCGTCCACTGCTGGACATAGGCCTCTTCCAATCCACACCACAATTAATAATTTATAACACAGCACAAGTGTATTTTTTTCCGATATGTAATTATTAAGTTATTGAAATAATATCTCAAACAATTTATCGAGATGCAAATTGAAAATTTTGAAATTAACGGTTCTTTTTCCATTGCGACTACACAACTTTAGCATAAGTAAGAGTTCCTTGACCTTTGGATTGGAACCTTTGGAAGATTCTTTGACCATTCAAGTACCTAGGTATCCCTAAACCAGTGAATCCATTATTCATTTCTAAAAAACGTATTGTATTTCCTCGATATACATTATGAAGCTCAAGAGATTCAATAAGATATTATAGTAAATAACTGAACATACAAATTGTTTTCAAATCCGACGGCTTTGGTTCCGTAACGAGTGGAAATAAATTGAATTTCTCGTGTTTGTATATTTTCGCTAAGGCAGACGCGTAGTTCCTCCACTAGACCGATGGAATTGTTGTTATGCCTTTTATGAATACTGCACTCCTGTTACAGCTGCCACACGAGGATTACGCTCTCAGTCTTCATTCTGAATCTTATGATGTTGACACAGCTAACAGCGTTTTATCGAATATAATAAAAGAAGGAGGTCAGTCCACAGCCAGTCGTGTTATTACTAATTGCATTGGCTCACACTGTTGTTGAGAAGTGGCTGAGGACCATAGACAATCCAATTTTAATGACGTCACTCACCATGACGCATTAACTCGTCTTCTTTCAAAATCAAACAACGGATCCCGTGTTCTCCTAAGACCAAATCATGACAATGCCATAATTCCGGACAAACTTATAACATCTTCTAACACTAAGATGTAGTTCAGTATAAAAATAGACCCAATAAATATTCTTAATAATATTCTTCTTAAATAAAAAAGAAGATCCTTCAATAAACAAAATAAACTTAAAACCAAGGACGACTGATTTAGCAAAAGACCGAGAAAGCTGCATCGCGCACTCATCCGAACAATAGCCGGGTCTTTGATTGCTTCATTAGTTGGTCAGAGACCCTAAGTACTGCACGAATCCGGGATCCATTTTCTATTTTCAGACACATACAGTATCTTTATTTAATATAGCAGTCGAGGTGTAGTGTAGGTAGTGCAAGGTAGAGGGGGAAGGGATCGACCGAAGAAGACATGGATGGAGTGTGTGAATGACGATATGAGAGAGAGAGGAGTGAGTGTTGAGCTAACGACTGATAGAAGAGAATGGAAGAGAAAACTCAGCTGTGCCGACCCCACCTAGTGGGATAAGGTGAAGAAAAAGAAGAAGCAATCAAGATGTAGTCGTATCTGATCCGGTCTCGCGTGTGTGTGTGTGTGTTCACGATACACTTTACACAGTCGTTCTATTGTTCATTAGGCTGTTGTATGTACAATCATTTTTATCCTCTTATCATCTTGAATATATTATTTTCGTCAGTTCCGCGAGTCGTTAACATAATTGAGTCTATTTTCATGGCCTTAAACGCTTTTAGTGTTTTCATTTTCTTATTTCAGGCGTTTCTAATACTGTACAGTTTTCGCGGTCACGGACTACTCGCCGACTAGGAGATGAGATTATAAGCGCGGTATTAAACCGTTATAGTGCTTTAAGCGTGCAAGAGATTTGCCCGCCACTATCCAGCGGCGAAATTTTCAAGCGTACCTACTGCGTACAAAAAATATTATTATTGTTGTACAAAAAGATTATTATTGTTACACGCTGGGGTTCAGGATAATTAAAATTCTACTGGAGTATAACTTAAAACTGTATTCAACACTTAGAACACTTAAAACACTTTAAAATTCTCAATTCGCTTCTTCCGCTTCGCTTCAAGTGATCCTTCGCTGTTTCGCTTCGAGTAGTTCTGATTACTGACTGACTGCGTGCCATTTCTGCAACGCTTTTATAGCCGATACCACATACCTAGAATTATCGAGAATATTCCACACATTTCTAGTATTGTGTTTTCGCTATATGACAATAGATGGCGTTGTACTTCTCGAGCATTCTAGGTGCTACTAGATCTTTTGATATTTGTTCGACTATTCAGAGATAGATGGCGTTACTCTTACCGGTGTAACATTAATTACATAGTATATCCCTTTGGTAGAATTAACGTGTTAAAATATATTTAATTTGATTTAGGATGTGTGGTGTAAGTATCAACTTTATCTAAAGACTATACTTACTTACATTATGTAACATTTTGAACCAACCACGTACTACTTACACGCCGCACTTCTATCAACTATGGCCCACACCAAAATAAACAAAATAATTTACGTAATATTGTATGTTGTTATAAAATAAATGTTTTTACGGCCGTGGTTCACGCGAAAGCTCCCAAAGCTCACGGCGTGACGTTGATTAATTTTAACGAGATAGATCGCTTTTACGGATGCTACAGAGTTACGAGATGTTTTCTGAAAGTATCGTGTTCTGTGTAACTTTATATAATATTATGTAGGTACTGTGCGTACTGTATGTTTCGGCTATGTATTCACCTTCTTTCATACCTCCCGAATTACTTTTTTGCACATTATGGGTGGACAACTGGATTTACTGGTGGTAGGCCCTCTTGTGAGTCTGCACGGGTAGGTACCACCACCCCACCTATTTCTGCCGTGAAGCAGTAATGCGTTTCGGCTTGAGGGGTGGGGCAGCCGTTGTAACTATACTGAGTTCTTAGAACTTACATCTCAAGGTAGGTGGCGCATTTACGTCGTAAATGTCTATGGGCTCCAGTAACCACTTAACACCAGGCGGGTTGTGAGCTCGTCCACAAATCTACGCTATAAAAAAAAGCTCACGGCTCATCTCATTTTAAGTGGTACTAGAAACCATTTATATTAAACGTAAATGAGTGACATTCAGGTGTGATGTCAGTGGCACCTTGAGATATGACGTCGAAGATTCAATCGCTTCGTATTACAATTGTCCCAGCCTTCAAACCGCAACGCACAATTATTCGAGCGGACTAACAATAGCATCAATAGTTACGAAAATGTATAAATTTTGTATTATTACATATTTCCCGAGGCTATTCTATGATATGAGCTCATGCTAAGTACGTATTTCGTTGGATTAGCGTGTCGACACGGCCAAAACATCGATACGAGTGCAACCGGCGTCTTATCCTTTACGCCACGACAATTTCAAGTCAACAAATTCCAATAACATCTCTATTCAACAATAAAATAGACTGTACACCCAAAAATACATCAAAATAAAAGCAATCCAATCGTGAAAGCAGCAAATTACTTCGCGTTCACAACCACAGTCGAATGATTAGATTAATGAGTTTCTAATCTTTAATTTATTACCGACGCAGTGGGCCGGAAGTCCGCCGCCGTGCCGGCCATGTAGTTATGACTCGGTCGAACCAAATATATGCTTGTTGTCAGTCCTTTAGCAGGGGTTTGTAAGTGCCGAGACTTTATTAAATGCACTTGATTTGTCTGTAGGTAGAGTGAGTTATCTGTTTTAGTTTAGTAATAATTTAAAAAAAAATGACGCTTAAGTCCAAATCTATACTAATATATCAATCTACAGTGGTTTTACGGATGTTCCGTTATAACTACTGAACTATGTATCCAATTGACTTAAAACTTGGTATCCATGTAGAAAATACATGTACTTAATGGATAGGCTATAATATTTATATGAGTTTTGGACTTCCAACACCACTTGCGGGGGCGTTAAAGATGAGAATCTTTGTGGGGGTGAGAAATAATAATGTTAATTTTAAATGCCCAGCGAAGCGGACGGGTACAGCTAGTATTTAATAAAAATAAAAATTCGCGTCGCAAATCCTTGGAACTTATAGCACACAGTATTTATAAAATAAGTTTGGATGTGATTTTTTTTTGTCAAAAGCTAGGAGGCTAAACTGTTAAGGAACAAGTCCTTAATGGAATGATAAACATCATCTGTCTACTATCCCATCTGATATTTTCGGTCCCTTACGGTTATTATAATAATCAAAATAACTACAAATTAACGTTTGAAAATGTAGGAGAGTCCGAGATTTTCTGATTGATATTCTATTTTGAGAACAAGACTTAAGCTAAGCTATTATTGAAGGGTGAAAAAAGTTTTGAAGGGTGGAAAAGCTGTTGTAGACTATGTACAGTATGTCAAGCCGAAAACTCTAGATAGTGTTCTGTTAGAATAATCAATTAGACAAAAAAAATGTTCCCAAGAAAATAGATTCGTTATAAAGAGGAATTAAACATAACGAACATACTATTATTTGCCAACCTTTGAATTAGGTTTTACTTAAGGTACTGTAATATGATTAGTCGTAAAAAATAAGGCTGACCAATAATCGAATGATGCGATATATGTATATCTTTTTTACTACATTTATTTATTGCTTAGAGGGGCGGACGAGCTTACGGTCCATTTGGTGTTAAGTCAATTTTAAGTTCAATCAATTCAATTTTGAGGGCGAAAATAGGATTTGATTTGTGATTATGTTTGTGCGAGTAACATAATGAGACTTCCACACATCCTGTTAGGGTAAGCTCGTTACGTTAATAAAACATTAAGTCCCTCCTGATTTTCAGTGTTTACTGAGCTCATAGACAACAGCAGCGTAAATTTCCAGTCATAGTTTTTTCAGTAATATGGCTGCGCCACCGGCTGCTGCTTCACGGCTGAAATATGCAGGCTAGTAGTACCTACTCTTACGGACACATAAGACGCCCGAGCATCAATCAGTACACCAGGAAGTAAACATATGAAATACTAGTTGGGCGAATGCGCACCCTGAATACGTTTTCTCCTCCAAATGGGCACCATCCCTGGGTTATCGCTTTCATTAAGCCCTTTTTGGCATGTGATCAAGAACTTTTATATTCCAGGTCGATGTTACGTAAGTAATAGCTGCAATCGCTTTTTATCTCACCAAGATGTATTTCCGCAAACCAAGTGTAATGTACGAAAGGGTATAATTGTAAAACGTAATTAATTTAAAAATTGTGAAAATTGTAAGAACCTCAACATCGTCGGTTTGCTTTTGGAAGTCTGAAGAAAGGAAGCAAACGCGGCGGCTTAACCGACTTCAAAGAACTAAAACAGTCACGTGATGTTAGCTGATTGAAATACACAAACACATAAGCACACCGGCGGTGCTGCTGGTCGCTCAGACGGCGGTGGAACATCAAACCACTTGTTCCGTCTTTGCAATAAAGGTGAAATCTATACATATAAATAAAATTGGAGTGTCTGTTTGAAATATTGAAATAGCCTCTTTTTACTACATGCATATGAATATATATACGGTACATACACCATAATAACATTTTTTATAATTTTTGTCTGTCTGTCTGTTTGTTCCGGCTAATCTCTGGAACGGCTGGGCCGATTTTGACAGGACTTTCACTGATAGTTAGCTGATGATATAACTTAGGCTACTTTTTTTAGACTAGCTTTGCCCCGCGGCTTCACCCGCGGTACGACAATAACCGCGGGTAACATCGCGGGATTCAGCTATGAATAATAAAATTTAATGTTTCCGAAGCGAAGCGAGGGCGGGTCGCTAGCTTAGTAATATTATCCGTAATAAGCTTGAAATTTATTTTGAGTTTTCGAATCTTAGGCATATCGCATCTGCATTGGTATCAATTAGTTTTACAACAACACTTTCCGGAAGTCAGCTTCATCATATGTACCCTTCTTTTCGAGTAGGTATGTTCATTTCTGAAGATCTTGCCTAGTTTGCAGACTGATCTCTGACCATTCGTTGCACATTTTTTCTCGACCTTCGGCAGTCTTTAATGCTTCAGGTATAGGCTGGTGTGTGATGCTATTATTTTTGACCAAAGAGTAGATTTAATGACCACGTGATCTTTACCCGTAACTTACTACCATATCAGTAATTACTGTATCAAATCATTGATATCACTTGCTAATCTACGCAGAGCATTATCCAGAGAGATACATAAAGACCAACAAAGACACGCACGGATATATGTATGTATATAGTGAATTGTTCATATCACACGGCTATAGTACTATCACTTAATTGGATTAAAATTATTAAATCATGTTTTAGCCTCATTTACTTCTCTTTTATAATCTATTTGTTTAAATTTTGGCGGTGTATTGGATTAGGTTAGGTTAGGAGATTTCATAAATAATTATTAAATTAAATTGAAATAAAATACTGTGGATTCTACGAAATTGGGATCCGGGAAAAGAGGTTTTGCCTATAACAGCATTGTTCTCTATTTACCATTTCGTTAGCCTTATCCGCCTTGTTGAACACGGAGCTGAGCCATTCCCACTGCAGACTTGACTCTGGGGTATTGTGCTCACGAATCCCGAACAAGTTCGTGTTCAGGATCACAAGCCTCAGCTTGTTCTGTTTCTGCTCAATCGTGTAGTACCCACCTGGAGACAAACATATTAACCTACTAAAATTTTTCAACATCAAGTTCTATTTAACATGTCACCATGAAAATAAAGTGAAAGCTACTTTACCATTAGCGAAGGTCTCTAAAGCTTCCAAAGGTAGCCATTGCATCCATAGAGTAGTGACAGTTTCGGATGGCTTGGGGTCCAAGTCCCCGAGAACTGGAAACACGAAGTGAGAACTGAAGGTCCTACTCAATAGGAACGTCATGTTACGGATAGCGTTCAGGCGGTCGTCTTCGCTTAGCGTGTAGTGGGAAGTGACTATGTCCCTGCAACAATGATTAAATAAAACACTCGTTTTACACACATTACATAGTTCCTACATTATATATTGTAGACCAAGTGTGTGCTCTGAGGAATTGTTCGAGATGATACCGGCATCTCGTTTTTACCATCGCACCGCCCGCCACCGGAGTAGAGTTCATCTATACTACCTGGAGCCACTGCGGTCATCCACAGTGCGTTTCCAGAGGTCTTTTTTGCCACGTACCATCCGGCTATGGAATGAGCTCCCCTCCACGGTGTTTCCCGAGCGCTATGACATGTCCTTCTTCAAACGAGGCTTGTGGAGAGTATTAAGCGGTAGGCAGCGGCTTGGCTCTGCCCCTGGCATTGCTGAAGTCCATGGGCGAAGGTAACCACTCACCATCAGGTGGGCCGTATGCTCGTCTGCCTACANAAAAAAAAAAAAAAAAAAAAAAAAAAAAAAAAAAAAAAAAAAAAAAAAAAAAAAAAAAAAAAAAAAAAAACCAAATACTCCACAAAATATCATGAACAATTCAGGGAATTTGCAAAATCAGAAATTGCCTTTTCAGAGAAAGATCTGGATTCTTTGGTATTTATTCAGGCGTGTTTTCTCAAGGTTTCCTCCCATACATTTGTACAATATTTGTATAATAAATTTTGCACAAAAGTATTAAATACAACGTTCTCAATTTGATATATTCTCGAAAAAAAAAAAAAAACAATCCCTAATTCTGTAGCAAGGGCTTCGAGTATTACCTTCGCTACTATTGCCACTCCTGAGAAGCGCTTTAAAAAGTCTAGTATGTCACATATGTACGTACCCTGTCCACAATACGAATTCTACGTTATCCGAGTGCCGGGTTCTCATGTACTTTGCAGCGGATTCGATGAGCTCCAAAGAGCTGTCACAGGCGTAGTCCCCATATTTCCCCAGAGCCCTGAGATATCTTGAACTACCACGATCAGCTAATCTCCGACAATCTGTATAAGTTTAATCATTTATTTATTTCCTAGATGAGTGTGCGAGCTCATAAACCATTGGGGTTTAAGTGGCGATTTACCACAGGAATGCCGCCACCCGGCTAGAGATATGTCTCACCCTTCAAACCAGATCGCATTACTGCTTCGCATCATAAATAGTAGGCAGACATTGTATCTATCTATACAATGTCTGCCTACTATTGGTCACAAGATACCCTACCACCAGTTGCAGGATATTAATAATACGGTCAAATATTCTTTTACTACAGAAAATAATGCAAGATTTTGTCGAAGAATTGATAACACACACTCCATTGGTTCTTATCGCCTTCCGAAGGTTACAAATAAATTACGCGAGATTCCATCTATAATTCAGAATTTAGGCAAAACGTATTATTCAAATGAATTGTTCTGTTTACTTCTTTCATATTGTCCTTGTGACACAGAGCAGGAGAGTGTCATATCAGCCATTTGCATTATAAAGTACAGATCAGCAGAAAAATCTTTTAGGGTTAGCATTGGCGATTTTCGTTACAAGAGTTCACGTTGAGGAAGAGGTATTAACCCCGCGTGTGGTTAAGAGCTACGTATTGAGCATGATGTATAAATAACAAGTTACTTTTTCTAATGTCTCCTTGTGAACTGTATAGGGGGTTATAGTGGAAGTCCGTGATGTGCCAGAAGTATCCTGAAACAATGAAACCAAGTTAAATAATTTATTGCTATATAAATCTTCAATTACATGGGATGCGGAGAGACTTTGGGATCTTAATGGCCTTTTTCACTGGAAGTACTATGATGAAGATCATGCTAATGTCTCCATTATATCATCACACCACTTCAAGCCGATATAGAGTTGAACAAATTTATTTAGAACCGCTTACTTAGGCGATTTTAGTGAGTGCAAGGAAAAATGTAATAACAAAAGGGGACCATTTTTTACTGCCTTTTAATTATTTTCATTCAATATTTTAAGAGAGACTTCATGTCACGAAATATCTGATTAAAAGTGCAGAACCTTTGGTGGTTCCTAAGTCATTTAAACTGATATCACTTCTGTAAGCTTGCATGATTATTTTTTGGTGGTGAACCGATTTTTTTTTCCTGAATCCACACATGTCTAACGATGTGGAATAGCGATAAGCACTAGTGCTCCGTTTGAGCTTTAGGAAGTTTTATCGGGAAGTTCAGTTTTCATCTATAAAATATCACTCACTATAGATTTTAGTTACCGCACGATACCATTGGGTCCGTATTCTATATACTCTATACTCGTTTATGTCACATAGAAAGTAAAAAAGATAAATTTAAAATTGAATTTTCATATTATATAAAAATCAAAGGAAAGCTTTGTAACTTGATCAAGGAAAGACCCAGCGTAACAAATTAATTGAAATTTAGGTAGTCTTTGTATCAAAAGCGAAGTCTCAAAACTTTGCCATTAAACTTTATATAAGTATTGTCTTCGATCTTTGAAAGCTCAATAAACAATTATCGGCCCTTGACCTCATTCCGACGAACGACACGGAAGGAAATTGTTATGAAAAAAATTTTAGAGGAGCAACTTGGCTATCAACTTCGGTTTTCGGAGACGTCTTGAGTAATGTAACCTAAATCCGCAGTCACCGTTGTCTGAATTAATAAGTTTTTTTTTTTATAAAAAGGCTTCCTTAGTCTAACAACTAGGACGCCAGAAACACTTGCGAGATATGTTATGTCCAGGTTTAAATTCCACAGATTGTCGAATTGAGATTGAGAATCTCGGAAATGGCTCCAACGATTTTGATAAAATTTAGTATACAGTGGATTTCGGGGGCGATAAATCGATCTAGCTACGATTTATTTTCAGAAAATGTTCTTTTATTCGTGTTTTCAATAATCAACTTTATCGATAATTAACTTTATGACTCTTCCCGACATCAATTGGCGAATAATAATACAATTATTCATAATTGAGAGCAACTAACTCCTTTAAAGATATAATACCACTAAAGCTATTTCAGCAGATGTTGTTGTTAAGCCACCCAAAACCACTTAAGAATGCCTAAACGATCTTGGAACATTTCATCATTTTATCAATATGTAATTCGTATTTACATATAATTTCGAAAAAATACAATTTATCAACAACAAAAAACCGAGCGTGGCTCGGTCATCGTCTAGTTATAATATTAATAGAAGTATGTGCGTATTACGTGCTCATGACTGACTTCCACGATGCCTGTATACTCGCTTAAAGCAAAACATAAAAAATTAAAAGCACAAAAAAGATACAAATTTTGTAACTATATCATCTACAGTTTATCTTGATCAAAGTACATTTGTAAGGTCGAGAATAGGGTTCGATCTGTGATTCGTGCGTTTTGTTTGCAAAGCACTTTCGTTTGTATCTTTAATTTATATTTGCAACAATATCGTAACATAACGAGACTTCCTCCTCATGTCCTGTTAGGGAGAGCTCGTCGCGTTACTAAAACATTAAAGTAGATATATACAAAACAACTTCCTCTTCAATTTCTCTTATTGCTTTTTTTTATTGCTTAGATGGGTGGACGAGCTCATAGCCCACCTGGTGTTATGTGGTTACTGGAGCCCATAGACCAGCGCGGACTCACAAGAGGTCCTACCACCAGTAATTACGCAAATTATAATTTTACGGGTTTCATTTTTATTACATATTGATATTCTTTAACCGTGGAAGTCAATCGTGAACATTTGTTGAGTACGAATTTCATTCGAAAAATTGGTACCCGCCTGCGAGATTCGAACACCGGTGCATCGCTCAGCACGAATGCACCGGACGTCTTATCCGTTAGGCCATAACGACATTCAAACTGCTTAGAGAGAGAGGAATGAACTCACAACCCACTTGGTGGTAACGTAAACCACCACCACCCATCAAACAATAAAAAAGAAAAAATTATAAATTCGCTAAATAGTTAAGCGGTGCGGTATCTATAATAATAACTATATTATTTAACTTGAATAACCCCTGAATTGCCTCAATAAGAACACTGTTAGCGATGCGTTAAATATAAAGAGTGAGTGCTGCTGAGGCAGCACTGGGGTGGGGCGTGTTAGCGATGCGTTAAATATAAATTTGGAGCTGTGATTAGTATATTTGGTGTATGTTTGTTTGTATGGTGAATTTGTTTTGTTAGGACAAGTTAACAAAAGTTTTAGCTTAGTTTTAAATTAACAAGATTTGTAAGAGAGAGTGCGCGGGGTTCAACGAGAGGTGAGGGGGCCTCGGACCGATGACCTGAGGCGAACGAAGTCAGTGCTGTGACCAAAGCAACGAACGCCGCGCGCTTCCTAACCACTAAAGTTTTGTCATTGCACGCCACCTTAGATAATAAATATTTTTCTCACAAAAAAACCTCTGTTAGTGCATTCCACGAACCTGCGAACCAACATAAATTACAAACACGTTGAAAGATAAATTTCTGGAGCTCAGGAATAAGCTTCGTATGGCAAAAAGTTTCATCAGTCAGATAAAGCGGCGAAAGTTTTTGTAAGCTAACTGCTTTTAGGGTCTTCACTTACTTCTTATTCTGTACGGCTTATTCAGTGTTTAAGACGTTTGTATCAAAACAGGAATTTTTAATGACTTTTTTATTTTTTTTATTTTTTAGATAAGTGGACGAGCTCACAGCCCGCAAGTGGTTACTGGAGCCATAGACATCTACAACGTAAATGCGCCACCCACCTTGAGATATAAGTTCTAAGGTCTCACTCAGTATAGTTACAAATGCTGTCCAACCCCTCCAAACGTGCGGACTCACAAGAGGTCCTACCACCAGTAATTACGCAAATTATTATTAATATTAATATTTTGCGGGTTTCGCAATGAACATTCGAAGTCCTTTCGAAGACCTTCGAACCCTTCGAAGTCTTCGCTCTCAAATTAGGCAAAATATAATTTATTTATTTCCCTTTAACAGGTAAGTATACTATTTTTCACTACCACAATCTGTCGGTAATTAATTAACGTATAAAGGTTTCATTAAATTAATATTGGCTTTTCTTAGGATTCTTTTTACATATTTTATTCAAAATTTACCATCGCATACCAGTAATACCCACCGATAACGATCTTTTTATTTGAGACAAAATGTGTAGTCACATAAATTTTTTTTACACTTTTCCTATTATAGAGCTTTAACTTTAATTAATTCGCAAATAAACTGTCAGTCGCTTAAGTGATACTGTGCCTGGTGTAACGTATTGATGTAACTATGTCGATATTCTAATCACACAGACGGATACCAATATTGAACAAAATACTATTTAACGCGTATTTAAAAACTATTCAGACAATAATTAAATGTAGTCGTCTTCTATAAATTATAATTTTTTTCATTTTTTTTATTGCTTAGATGCTTAGGGTAGACGAGCTCACAGCCCATCTGGTGTTAAGTGGTTACTGGAGCCCATATACATCTACAACGTAAATGCGCCACCCACCTTGAGATATAAGTTCTAAGGTCTTAAGTATGGTTACAACGGCTGCCCCACCCTTCAAACCGAAACGGATTACTACTTCACGGCAGAAATAGGCAGGGTGGTGGCACCTACCCGCGCGGACTCACAAGAGGTCATACCACTAGTAATTACGCAAATTATAATTTTGCGGGTTTGATTTTTATTACACGATGTTATTCCTTCACCTCGGATAGTTTGAATGTGAATACATTAATATAAAATGAATATCTATACATTAAATAAGTGTATTTTAGGTTGGTAGCACGTCGAGGCGTAGTCTGCACGGGAGGATCAACTATCCTGTCCATTTCTGCGGGAAAGAGTCATGAACACCGACAGAAGGACGGAGCAGCCGTCACAGACACAAAACCAGTCAAGTTTATTTCAGTGAAGAACCGAAATCGTGTGGAGCATTCCCGCAAACTTAATATCTGTGTCCGTGAGGACTTTTCTTTTATATTTTCCTCTATACTGTGATTGAGGCTTAGTATTCTCTGCTGCTTACAAATTTTATTATGGCGTATGTTCGGAGATGAGAATATTGATGACTCGTCATCTTTTTTTACATTTTCTATGTTTTAATTGAAGTTGCGAAGGACCTTTGGGGAAGGAAGTTTTGAAGTTTTGAAGGACCTCTCCGCGCGGGTAGGTACCACCACCCTGCCTATTTCTGCCGTGAAGCAGTAATGCGTTTCGGCTTGAAGGGTGGGGCAGCCGTTGTAACTATACGGAGACCTTAGAACTTATAACTCAAGGTGGATGGCGCATTTACGTTGTAGATGTCTATGAGCTCCAGTAACCACTTAACACCAGGTGGGCTGTGAGCTCGTCCACCCATATAAGCAATAAAAAAAAGTGCGTGCGTACAAAGTACACATGCCAGAAGTGAAACTTTTTTGGCGAACTAATTTATGAGTCTTGCTTATATTTATACAAATCTAAAACTTTAGATTTCCGAGACTTAGAGGAAGGGAAAAAGGAAGATATGTTCCCGCCAAAAGTCTGTCAAATGTCAATCTCAAACCTCAGTGTTGACAGTCACATTATGTTTAGATTTCTAAATTGTAAATGACTAATATTTTGCCAATTGAATTGACAAATTTAATTTCATGCTATTTCATTAATGTTCCAAATTCTTTTCATTTCATTTCAATTTCTATTAACATTTTTCACAAAAAAATTATAAAATATTAGGCTGTATGC